TGATAGTCATGTATATAGAGATTAGAAATGCATGTGAAAACGTCTCAATGTCAATTGCCTTGGAATGAATTCTTCTGTATGAAAAAAAAAACACAAGTATCTTCTTGAAGTCCCTCAAATTAAGGTAAAGAATAAGAACAAATCATTCTGGAAGAACGCAAAGGAAAATAGCTTTAGATACTTAAGTGACAATTGAATTTATTCTTATAATTGTTTTAATAGCTTTTGTATAATCTTCATCGCTATTATGAGATATAAAATTCAAATCTCAAATCTGTAATCATTATGCCAAAAATCTGAATTACTGTAATATTTTGCATATTGTTAAAACTGTAACTTTAATTGTAAAAAAAAATTTTAAATTAAAAAAAAATTGTCATCTTGTACTAAGTTTGAAATTTGAAATGTTTCTTCCTCTTAACTTTGTCCTGTTTTCCTGAGATTGCTTTTTGGCTGTTCAATGTCCTTTGTATGTTTGTATGAGTTTCAGGATCAGCTTTAATTTTTGAAAAAAAAAAAATTTTAAATTAAAAAAAAATTGTCATCTTGTACTAAGTTTGAAATTTGAAATGTTTCTTCCTCTTAACTTTGTCCTGTTTTCCTGAGATTGCTTTTTGGCTGTTCAATGTCCTTTGTATGTTTGTATGAGTTTCAGGATCAGCTTTAATTTTTGAAAAAACTTGCTGACCGCCTGCTTAGTGGGTATGGAGCCTGCTGCCAAGCCTGGTGACCCGAGTTTAACCCATGAGACCCACATGGTAGAAGGAGAGAACTAACTACTGCAGCTTGTCCTCTGACCTCCACATGTTCTCTGTGGCACACTTAATGCTCCCCCTAAAAATACATATATATAAAAAAATGCTGAGATTTTGTTAAAGATTGTATTTCATTTATGGTGAATTTGGTAAGAATTGTATATTAAGTATTCCGACCGATGAACATGGGAAAGAATGTCTTTATTTAGGTCTTTACTTTTCCTAGGCATATTTTAGTTTTCAACATATAGATTTTCTTTCTTTCTTTTTTTTTAGAAAGTGTTTCCCTGTAGCTCCACCTGGGCCTGGAACTCGATATATAGACCAGGGTGACCTCAATCCCACAGAAATCCACCTGCCTCTGCTTCCTGAGTCTTGGCCAGTCACGCCTGGCTAGATTTTGTTTCTTTTGCTCATTCCTATCATGAATGAGTTGATTTTAATCTCATTTTTGAATTATTCATTACTAGTATAGAGAACTACAATTGATTTATTTTTCGGTGGGAGAGGGGGATTTACTGCGTTTTTGTGTGTGTGTGTGTGTGTGTGTGTGTGTGTGTGTGTGTGTGTGTGT